GGCCCTGCGGCGCGCGGCGCGCCGCCATTGGCCGGGCGCGAGCGGCGGTCCCGCCCCCCGCGGTGCCGTGGGCGCAGCGCGTGCGCGGAGCGGGTGGCGGTGGCGCGAGGCGATGGCGGCCGTGGGGACGATGGCGGCCATGGGCCCCCTGCCCGCCATGGGCGCGCTGCCGCCGCTGCCCACGCTCGGCGTGCCCGGCGTGCCCGAGCTGAAACCGCTCACGCGCTACGAGGCCATGCGGCTCGGGCCTGGCTGGAGCCACTCGTGCCACGCGATGCTGTACGCGCCCAACCCGGGCATGCTGTTCGGCCGCATCCCGCTGCGCTACGCTGTGCTGGTGAGGGCCGGGCGGGGCCGCACCGGGAGCGGAGCCGGGGCCGGGGCCGGGGCTGGGGCCGGGGTTGGGGCGGGGCGGGAGGGCGTCGGGGCGGACGGGGCTGGGCCGGGCCGCGGGTGCGGGGGCGGTGGATGAGGGGGCGGCTCCGCGGGAGATCCGAGCAGGGCGGTAGCGTCAGGCTGGGCCCGAGCCCAGGGGGAGCCCCCGGGCCCGCGGGCGGTGCGGAGAGCCCCGGCGGCCGGGCCGGCGTCGCTGAGCGGTCCTGGATGCGCCGGAGCTGGAAGGGCCGCGCCGGAGCGGCCGCGGCGCCCCCTGCGCTCCTCCGGCTCCTCCGGAGGCTCCGTGGCCCCCCCTCGCCCCCCGGCGGGGGCCCCGCCGTGCCCCATTAACACCCTGCGCCTCTATTGCAGATGCAGATGCGGTTTGACGGACTGCTGGGCTTTCCCGGGGGGTTCGTCGATCGCCGTTACTGGTCCCTGGAGGACGGTCTGAATCGGGTGCTGGGCTTGGGTTTGGGCTGTGTGCGCCTGACGGAAGCTGACTATCTGTGCTCGCACCTGACAGAGGGGCCACACCGCGTGGTCGCACACTTCTACGCCAGGCAGCTCACCCTGGAGGAGCTGCACACCATCGAGATCAGCGCGGTGCATTCCCGAGACCACGGGATGGAGGTGGGACACCCGGGAGGGGTGTGCGAACTCTCACTTAGCCCAGGGAAGGCGCCGCTTCCTCCTGGGTCTGCCGGGCGGCCCTGGCCAGCCCGGCCGGGGAATGCACCGCAGGTAGAGCTGCCGGCGGCAGGTGCCAGCACCGCCCGAGGCATCGGCGATAGGAGCCGGCTGGGGTTGCACCGCGGGCTCCGGAGCACAGGGAGCTCCGGCTCCAGCCTTTCCTGGCGTCTGCCCGCGCAAGGATGAGCCCGTGTAACCCTCGGCCAAGGGATGTGGCCGAGGGCCGTTTGCTGCTGGGGGGGATCCCCCCTACCCTGGGCTGAGTGCCCTGGACCGGACCGTGACCGCGGTGTGGTGATGTCGCTGTGACCCGAGTCCTCCCCGGCCTGCATGGGGGTCGTGCGGGGGCACCTTCCTCCTCCTCCTCCTCCTCCCGGGCAGCTGAATGTGGCTGAAGCCCCGGGGCATTGTGAGAGAGACCCAGGGCCTCCCCCTGCGCCCTCCGGGCGCTCGGTGGGTGTCGCAGCCGCGTGAGCAGAGGCAGCGGGCGCTGGGTTGTGGCCTGGGTGAGGGGGACACGGGGGCAGCTGTGGTGTCCCCACACGGGGCGGGGGCTGGAGGGGGAAGGGACACTCCCCATAGTGGCTTGGGGCAGTGGGATCCCCCCCAAAGGGGCAGGATGGGGGAACAGAGCCAGGGCTGGGACGGAGGGCTGGGCAGGGAGAGCAGGGGCTTGGCTGGGGGAGCTCGGGAAGGGGCAGCACTGGGGCTGAGCTGGGTTGAGGGCAGGGAAGGGCAGGGACCAGTGTGGAGGGAAGGCAGGACCTGGCAGCGGGGCAGGGCGGGCCTGGGCTGTGGGCTGGCGGGCACGGGGTGAGGGTGTGGGGACAGGGGGGTGCGGGGAGGGGGGCTGGTGCTGCCGTGGCCCTGCTGAGCTGTGCCCTGTGCATTTGCAGGTGATGGGCATGGTCCGGGTCCCCCTCTACACCCAGAAGGACCGCATGGGCGGGCTGCCCAACTTCCTGGCCAACTCCTTCGTCGGAACTGCCAAGTTCCAGCTGCTGTTCGCCCTGAAGATCCTGAACATGGTGCCGGAGGAGAAGCTGGCCGAGGCGGTGGCCGCCACGCAGAAGCCGAAGAAGGCGGCCATCGACCACGCGGGAGGGGCAGCGGGACACCTGCACGGCCACAAGGCGGGCAACGAGCTGGGCAAAGCGGGCAACGAGCTGGCGGAGCGGGCAGAGCACCCGGGCATGGCGCAGGCGGGGGCTGAGCAGCTGGCGGGGCTGGAGGGCCAGGCCCTGGCGGAGCAGCTGGCGGGGGCCGAGGCGCTGGAGCAGCCTGCGGGGCTGGGGGCTGACGCGGTGGCAGAGCAGCCGTTGGCCGAGGCGATGGAGTGACCCCACCCTGTGTGCGCTCCAGTAAAAGTGGGTGAGCCAAGAGACTTCTACCTTTCCGACCTGGGGCTGCAGTGGCTGCCCACGCGACCCCACTGCCCAGCCGGGAGGGTCTGGGTTTGTCTGAAGCAGGGAAAAGCGATTTATTTTTATGGCCATTAAACTCTTAGCGAGCTTCCCAGATCAACCTGCACAGCCCCTGCAGAGAGTTCATGTGCTTACGTGAGGGCGCCAGAGCCTTAGAATTATGCTTTGATTTCAGGGACACACTGCTGCTGTCAGGTCCCCCTTCCATTTTTAAGAAACAAAACATACGAATTTTTTAAATGCCCCATGTTGACCTGGCTGTGTTAGCAATGGGCACAGCAGAGGGATGGGGCTGCTGGTCGAGGACGTCTGTCCATGTCAGTGACCAGGCCCCTGCTTGGGGTGCTGGTGCAGCAGGGCAGCTGTGCCATGAATTCCCTCTGGGGCATTAGGGGTGCTCATGTGGGGCCCTACCTGGAGATCTGTGGGAGCAGAAAAGTGGAATAAATGGCTTTGCTGAAAGTTTAGCAGTTGGGATCGTTCTTGAAGGTTGAGGCTGAGCCTGCGGGACCCAGAGCTGGGGGAAGGTAGGGCTGGGAGGGAACAGCACCCATCAGTTCCTGCTGCCACAAGGGTTTGTCCTCTGGACTGTGCCAGGGCCAGAGGTGAAGGATGGGGCCAGAGGCAAAGGACAAGGACAAGGCTGCTGGTGGCAGCCCCTTGGGGCAGGGGGGCTGTGGGGTGGCTCAGGTGCTGCCCCACTGCAGCTGTTGAGGTTTTGGGTTAGTCCAGACTGGCTCATACACCCTGGGGCTCCAGGCAGGAGCCTGGGAGCAGCCATTTGTGCTGCTGCGGCTGCTGAAGCACCTCGTGGGCACTGGCTGTGCCTGAGGGGCCTTTGTCCTGGCTGAAATGTGGGGCAGCCAGCAAGGAGCCCCAGTCCCTACGGGGCTCAGGAAAATCCTCCACCCACCCATTGGAAGGGCAGGCTCAGTGCTGGAGGAGCTGCTCCCTCTGCTCTGTCCCCCCCCTCTCTGCCTGCTCCAAGCTGATCCCTGGCTTGGCCTGGCAGCAGCTCCCCCAGGATTCCTCCAGCCCCCCTGAGGAGGGTCTGTGGGCACCCCCCAGCACAAGGTCAGGGCCAGAGCAGTCAGTTGGTTCCTGTGCAGGGACAGACAACTCAGAAAAGAGGTTTGGTTTAATTGAAGACATTTAGCGAGAGGCATTTCAATAAATAACGGGCTGCAAAGTGGGGACAGGGCTAATGCCTCAGGACAGGGTGGCAGGAGGGCACAGACCAGTCACAGCTCCCCTGGGGATGTGCTGCAGCAGTGGAGTGGGGTTGTGTAAGGGGAGGAGAGAAAGGGGACACACACACACACATCAGTGCCAGACACTCGGGAGAGAAAGAGCTTCATTCTGGTCCAGAGAAAGCAAGTGCTGAGGAAAACCAAGGGCTTGGGCTGCTAAAGAACCTCTAAACTAACAGATGTGTTTAAGTAAAAAGTGGATAAGCAAAAATACCCCAGACTGAAACGTGGTAACCTAACTGAGGGTGTTGTGGAACTGAGGCTGGAAGGTGTGTCAGGGGCCCTGGGAAAGCACTGGGATGGGAAGGGGTCACTGTGGGCAGCTGGGCTGGGGGAGGAGCTGCCTGCCCAGTGCCACTGGCACTGCTGAACTGGAGAGGAACCAGAGACGGGGTGAAAGAGGCCCATTCCAAGGGCAGCCCTGGCATCTTGGGGCTCAGAGGTCTCAAAGGATGGCCTTTCCACCAGCACCAACTTGACTCCTCATAAACACTTCTTTACCTTGTGTCAGTCATTGAGCTATACCTCTGAGCCCCAGAAGGACCAGCACCTTGCAGAAGAGCCTTGTGCTGCTTCCAGAAGGTCCATGCCAGCCCCTGGGGCTTCCTGCTCTCCAGGGTGGCACTTGTCACACACAGCACCCTCCCCTCCTGTGCCTCCCAGCCCAGGGGCTCACACACTGACAGGGCTTTCTGTGGCCATCCAGTCTGCAAGGTCTTCTAAGACCCAGCCTGACGTGTAGTGTCACCCCCAGGTCCTGCCCAGCCCCTGCCAGAGCTGGCAGTGCCAGCACATCCAGGCCCTGCACCAGATGGAGCTTGGACCCCTCTGCTCCAGTGACACGATGGTAGGGGAATGAGGAACATGGTGCTGAGCAGGGGAAGAGCCTCAGCCAGGGAAGGAGGATTTGCCATGGGAATGTAGCAGGGCCCATGGCCTGGCTGCAGCTCTGGGGCCTCCACACAGGCTGGACACGAGCTGCCAGTGAGCAGAGACTCAGGCCCAGCTGGCCCAGCCAGAGCTGTCCTGCAGCCAGGACACTGCCCAGCACAGCGCCGGGGGGTCAGAGCACAGCCCAGAACACAACAGTGAGTAGCTGGGGCACCTTCCTCAGCAAGGAAAAGCTGTTGTGATCTATGCACAGATTCCATCATTCCAGAGCCTGCAGGAGCCCAGTGCCAAGGGAGGGCACGTACAGGGGAGGAGACGGGCTCTGGACCAGACTCTACCCCCCCAGCTCCCCTCCCCTGCTACATTCCAACTTGGACAGAGGCAGAAAGATCTATACACTATAATACATATATATTTCACTATGAAATAGCAATTTCATTCCCTGCCTTCTACTCGATGCATCCTGAATTCTACGCTTCTTTGTACATCACTCCAGAGGGCTGGTGGGGCTGGGTAGTTTCTCATGCGAGGCAGTTACTCTTCCTGCAAGTTACCCACAGGAAGCACGAGCAGCTGATGTGGGAGGACCAAACCATGATTCTCACTCCCCCTTTCCCCTCACCCGGCTCCCCTTTCCCCAGCACAACTCTCCAACTGTCCCCTGCCAGCCGTTCAGTGGTTCCTCAGTGCACATTCCTGACCCTCCCTCAGCTGCTCTGGGAGCAGTGGGAGCAGCAGCTGAACCCACCTGTATGGAAGGAGCAAACCGGAGGCGAGGGAGGTGATGGGGACAGTGCAACATGCACACGGAGTGGTGACGGACACCCAGGCCCGCCCCAGCCCACGGGGGGTCGGGGCTGAGCCCCGGGGTGAAGTCTGCCAAATGTCAGTCCCTGTGAACAGGGAGTCCCGCCCAGGGGCTGGGTCACTGGCCAAGAGCTGTCATCACTGGAACCAGTGCAGAGCCGGGTGGGTCACGTGGAAGGAGGAATGATCCTATGGAAAGAAAAGAGGGCAGGTGTTGTAGGGAAACCAGGTGTTAATGACGGTCTCTCCAAGCGTGCAGGGGAGCCACAGTGTTGGGAATGTCAGAGACGTGCAATGGCACTGGCAGCAAATGGCCTTCCAGTTCCTGGGCTGGGACACTGAGGGCTCAGTCACTGTGGGTCTTGCACGCTGCTCCAATATCTGGGAAAAGGAGAGGGACAGCACATTCCACCTTCTGTTGGGCTCTGGGCTCAAGTAAACAAGATCAGAATGCGAATTCCCTTCAAATGAAACCAGCAGGAGTTCAGCCACTGGCTGGAGGCCGGAGCACAGAGCTGCCCAGGCACTCCACAGCAGCAGGATGCTCCCACTCCAGGACTGTGGCCGTGGGGCAGGGAAGGGGCTGTCCCCAGTACCCACCTGGGCTTCCCGCACACGCTGCGGTCACATCGTCCGGCTGTACTCGATGCCGCTCTTGGCAGAGATGCCAGACCAGGGCAGGAGGCTGCACAGGAGGCTCTGGGCTTGCCGGTATATCCTCTGGGGAATGGAGCACGGGCTCAGGCTGGCTAGTGTGGATCCAATGTGCTGTAGGTAGTCAGTGGCCACCAGTTAAGGACAAAAACAGTTACACTGTGACTAAAGAAACACGTGAAATCGCTCCGTGCACAGTGGAAGCTGCTCTGCTCACTCAGACCTGCTCCTTGCATTCATTGCCACCACCTGTCTGTCAAAAGCAGGTCTGTTCTCCCCTGTAAAAGATGGCAGTTTGGGAATGCTGGCTCCAATTGTGTGGGAAATACCTCCTCTAAGCAGCTGCCCATTCTCTTTGCATTCCACGGCAAGTTCCTGTGGGGATGGCAATCCATCCCCCTGCCCCGGGAGGTTGGGATTGACCAGCTACACTTGGGAAAGAGGGGTTTCTTTCCATGACTTGGTGACCTGAAACAAACTCTCTAAATCAGTGTGAGAGCAGCCTGCTGAGATCCAGGCCAGGCTCACAGGGGATCCCAAGTTACAGGAAGGAAGACCAATAGTTTCTCTGCCATGCTCCATGCAGGCCAAATCCTGCACACCACAAGCCAAAGCATGCCCAGCACTTTGGCCTAACACTCGCATCAAGCTTGCTCCAGAAATCCTAGGCTGACTCCCTGACCTGTTCCCAGAGGAGTTGGGGGAGCCTGGGGACACACAGATCACTGTCAAATCCCTCTATCATCACCTTCCTTCCAGCTTCAGGTTAAACTCACATCTGAGCAGGCAGCAGTCCCCACACTTTGGTGGGTTGGTGTTGTTAACCCCAAACATGGCTTGGCCTGTGCTCAGCAGGTAAAGGATATAAGATTGTCCAGGGTGGGTGCCCACCGTTGATGTAGAGGACGTAGGTGAAGCCATCTTTGAGGACCCCTCTGATGGAATAGTAATAGGGGAGATAGTGGTGCTGTTTAAAGTCTCTGTTTTCATAGAAGTTTATTGCTGTGTTGTTGGTGGTGAGGACGTGCAGGTAGATGGCTTTGCAGTGGTCCTGGGCAGTGGTGGAGATGTGGTCCTTCAAACTCTCCAGCAAGAGTGAACCTGTGGAAGGGAAGAGCAGCAGGATCACAGTGTGGAGCCTTCCTCAGCATGAGGGCTCGTGGGGCTCAGCTGAGTCCTGCACCAGTGTCTGAGCAGGGATTGCTGCACATCCCTGAGGGCCCCAAATCCCACACAGTTCTCAGAGGACCATGCTAGATGGTTTTAATATGAATCTCATCTCACCTATAAGCATGGCTTCAAAAAACAGAGATTTTAAAGACACAGATCTCTGACTCAATAACCACAGGGATGAGCCAGACATGGGACTTACCATGACAATGTCACCCATCCCCAGTGGAGCAGCTCCCAGCTGTGGGGAAGGCCACTGAGTCATTTTCAATGGTATCAGTTCCACCCCATATATTTATTTATTTTAGAGCCATTTAAAACAGCAGAGTGTCAAAACAGAGCTTCACAAGCAGGTTATTGCCCTGTGTCTGCCGAACTCAAAATCTAACTGGTGGGTTTTGAAGATCCCTTCTAAGGAAGAGAGCAGAGGCACAGCCTCACTCAACCTGGATTTGGTGCAGCCAGCAGGAAAAACTAGAGGAGGGCACAGAGGATACTCCAGCCCCAAGAGACAAGACCTGGAGGTTCATCCACACCACCTCAACATGGCATGGTGGACCCAGCAGAACCTGCATGGGAACTTCTCCCATCAGGTGTGGTAACACCAGGCTAAAGGATCAGCCTGACTAATACACACAGGTGAGGTGGCTGCTGCTCTTTCACAATCCCCAGGATCTGCAAACCCAAAATATACCGAGAGACATCAACAATAGAGCAGTTCAGTTTAGTTACGACATATTCCAGTCTTGAAACTTCACAGAAATCCAGCTGTCCTCTGGTTTAAGAATAGCAGAGAACTACAAACCAAAACCTTTTACTGTCTTCCAGGGAAAAATCAGAGCTTTAGTGCTCAGCAGCATGCCTGGGGTGAAGAGCCTCCTGCATAAAAGGCTTCAGCTTCAAACACCAGCAGAAAAACTCTCAAAAGAAAGGTCTCAGAAAAAGCAGCAGCAGCTTCTTTAGGCTGTGTTGCTACAGGTACAAGTTCAAAGGTTTTGAGAGAGGATGGTAACATGCTGTGTAGATGAAATGGATGCAGGAAATACTGACTCTGATGGGAGAAAATTCCAGCAAGATGGAGCTGGGAAAAAAAATGAGGACTTGGAAACTGAAAGGAGACTCAAAACCACCGCAGTTTTACAGAATACCCCTTTACCACCCTCTCTGAACATCATTCTGTGGCATTTCAATGCAAGCTTTAAACACAGTGCTCTCTCTGAGGACTCTCTGGTCATTTCTTTGTGCATCCTATCAGTTTGTCCCTTTCCAAACATGGCTGGGGGAGAAGGGAGGAGTTGTAAATAATGAGTTATACCTGCATCCACTGAAGAGATCCCAGGTGTGCAACCCAGGATCACACTGCCAAACCCAGCCTGTTCCCTTTTGCAGATCAAAGATACAGATTCTGCCTGAAATCACCCCAGAAGGGCAGCATTTGGTGACAGAGCACACCCTGCTCTAGGCAGAGGTAAAGCCTTTCTGAACTGCAGGATTCCAAATGGCTGCAGGAACGCTGCATGTGGCAGCAGACATTCAGAGCTGACTTGTCCAGGCATTTGAGATCTAACCAGGTCCAAGTTACACTCTTTTTCCAGTTCCCTTTGTCATTTTCTAACTGTTTGTTCTATCTGTTGAAGCTGAAAGCTTAAAAGCAGCTCTATTTTCTGCCTCAGGGATCAGGCTGCTGATACCCATAAGAGAAAATCATTTCAAACCCTGCTCCAGGGTGAAGTTCTCACACTGCCAGTCAGTCTCAGCAGCAGGGCTGCGAGTTTTCGGTGTGCTCAGCTGGCCCCTGGGAACAAGATGGACAAAGCCCTCTGCTCTTTGGAAATATTTGCATATTGTGTTGTGTCCACACCAGTAAAAAGTTCTAAGTGCAGCTGCACTGACACCAGGCAGGAGATGTAGGTGCATCACCTTCCCACCTGCTGGTATCAGTCAGGGGGAAGCCTTTCCTACAGGGATATGCTGGAGCTCCTTCAGTCACACCCACTGGCCACACGTGGCAAACGAGAGCAACAGTTGTCACTGGGCAGCATCTTACCTATTCCATGTTTTCTGAACTCCTTCACCACTCCAAGACTTAGGATGTAAGCAACTTGAGTGTCCACAGGAAAATTGGAAGCTAGGATGTCTCCATCCTGAGTAGAGATAAGACAAGTTATTTAGTAGGGTACCCAGGGAGGGACAGGAGAAAGCAGAAATCCTGTACTGGAACACCTGAAAACAAGGCCAAAGCAGGAATCTTCTCTTCACTGAACAGTCTTAGCTGAAGTTTTTGGAAAGGAAGTTCAAAAATCCAAGCATGGTTCCTTTGGGGCTACTCCTACTTTCATATCATCTTCCCAGACACAGAACACAAATCATGGTGCTTCCTGACTACAGGCATTACCTGTGGCCTTAGGGACAGAACATATTGGCTTTCTTTACCAGGAAGGATTCAAAGTGCCAGTTCTGGAGTCACCCATCAGTGTCTAAATCAACCCAGCAGGTCCTCATGGCCTGCAAGCTCCACCTGAGCTGGACATCCCTGCACTGCTGCAGAGCACAAGGAGCACGTTCCACAAGCCCAACTGCTGGAGCAGTGGCTGAATAAGCCCTTGGCTTCCAGCTTGGCTGGGACAAGAGCCTTTTGTTAGAGTTGCTGAAGGTGCAGCTTCTGACTTTGATGAGCTTTGAGGTGAAGCCAGATAGCTGAAGTGAAGAGACCCGTGCTGCTCAGTGCTCTCAGCTCCTGTGAATGTTGGGATTATTGTTTAATCACAACACTGATGGCCTTTCAGGGGTTATGCACCCTCTGCACTGCCCCTGATTTTTTTTAGTGGTCTTTTTCCACACTGTGCTCAGTGACCACCACTTCTCTCCCTCTCTGCTGTACTGTGTTGTCTCTCCTGGCCTCCAAGCTGTATTATCTCCAAAGCTCAAGCTCTTTGCAGGCTGGTTACCTCCCCTCTAGGTCTGAGATAGGGACTGTGAAAATGGAGGGGTTTCTGCAGGAAGTCACCAGAGTGACTCTCCCAGTACAGCTGAGAAAGCTCTTAAGTAAGAAAGGTAAAGGTTTCTTCTCCCACATCCTGCAGTCACCAGGGACACTGAACACAGCCAGGCAACAGTTAAATGCCTCCTGCACAGGTATTTGGGATTACACCTGCATGATCTGATCCCTCAGCTTCCCATCAGGCCATGGGCTGCAGCAGGAAGAGACCCTGTGGCACCAGGCTCATGTGTTCAGACACATCCCCCCACCCAGGCTCTGTTAGCTGGAAATCAGCACACGCTTCATTCCCTAAATTAACTCAGGGTCAAGTGTCTGAATAGGAGGGGAAAAAAAAATACCCCAAGCAGGTCCCACCCCTGTTAACCACGGCAAGAGGTGGATTATGTCACTGGAGCTCAGTGTAGGGACCTACCTCCTTGTGCACCTTCGTTCTGCTCTTGATCTCTGCCACTATCATGCCCACGATGGAGCCTCTGTACGTGGCTGCGAGGGAAAAGAACTTCTTGTTGGAAGTGATATCTCGGTACCATGAGTCAGGGTACCTGGGAAGGAAGGAAGGACAACCAGGAATGTTTCAGGATGCAAAACCCACATGCCTGAGATGCTCACCTGGAAACAGCTGTTGCACCCCCTTTGGTAAAATGGCATCATATAATGGCCTCCTTGCCTTGCTAAGAGAGCCTCATTTTTGGTTTACATTCACTGCCCAGAGCTTTCAATTCCATCTTTAGCAAGTTATTTTTAAATGCAAGATCCATCTGCCCTCATCTAAAAGCGTAAGGATCTCATTAATTTGATACATGTGTAAAAAAAATACTGCATATTGGAACAAAAAAAAAAATATCACACCACCAGCCTCCAACTCTCCTCCTCCTTCTGCAGATACAAAAGGGAGACTGGGGTACTCATTTATTTCAAAATGAGAGTTCAGCCTCGCATTTAAAAGAAATCTACAAACTCAAAATATTATGAATGCTTTTGCTGATTTGTTATATTTTATACAATCTTATTTATAATCTGCTTAAATCTTCTATAAGCCTTCTCAACAAAGCTAAAGAAAAAAAACCAGTTGAAGCCTACAGCTGTGGTTTCCTTGGGTGCTTTAGGCCAGAAATCTGTCACTGTCCCCCAGAAAAGCTCCTCATTCCTGTGCTTTTGCAGCCATGGGCATTTACCAAATGGGGGCCTGGGGAACTGACCTGGGACAGACTGAGATCAGCTTTAAGCCAGACCTTTGGGAGCAACAGTGATGCTGAGGACACAGGGAAGTACTGCTCATTTCCCCTGGGACATTCAGAAGGATAATCCCTCAGGAACAGCTGCTCCCTGTGGGTTTGGTTTGGCTCTGAGGGCGTTTCCTCAGCACACGCTCCAGGACACAACTTCCTTTCACAGGGATGCTGTCCTTTTTCCTGGAGGTGTGCCCCTTTCCCCACCTCATTCACAGTCTTTCCCAAAGCCCATTTTCCTGCCACAGTCTGCACACAGGAACTTTCTGATGCCTCCAGGCCCCTCCAGGACAGGCAGCAAAGGGCCGTTACAGCAACACCAGCACAGTGCACAGAATATTCCAAACCTGCTGCTGTCCTGGCAACAGCCCAGATGGCTGCAGAGCCTTAGGAGTCAGCTCCAAAGTGGACCAGTGCAGGCTCCCAGCCTTTGTTTCAGATCCCCCCCCCCGAGCCAGTGACGTACTCTATTGGGAACCAGTCTCCACAGAGCTGTTTCACTGTGTCTATGTCATCGTGGCACAGCAGGCGCAGGTTCACGTCCGTCAGTGCAGTCGGGGGCACCTCCTCTGTCATTCACGCCTGCAAGGACAGGAGGCACGTGAGGAACCATGGAGGACAGGGTCTGATCCCACCTCCAAGCACCGGCAGGATCTTGGCATTGGTAAACCTGTTTTTCCCCAGCACAATGAATTTTCAGGAGAGATGAAGCAAAACGTGGCAACATTCATTTGAGAAATAACTTGAAGCCACGTTGCCCACGGGATAAGCCCAGCTCGCTGCTCAGCCTGACCCACCCCTCCAGCCCTGCATCCATGCCCATCCCACTCCCTGAGAGCACAGTATGGTGTGCACATGGCCACAAATCCTTCCAAAAAGAGCTCAGGGTGCTGCATTAAATGAGCCAACAACGTGCCAAGTGTACCTTATGTTGTATGGAGCTCTTCAAACGTCTGTGCAGGACCAACATTTGGTTAAAACGAAACTGAACAAACAGCTTAAAAAGGAAGCACTGCTAGAAGAGCATTTAGAAAGTCCCCTTGCACAAACCTGCCATCTCCAGTGAGTACATATGCAGAGGATTTCAACTCTTTAAAATGTTCATTTTGTTTAAGCTATGCTGGGGAAATGAGACCTAGTTTCACTGCCCTCGTTCCCCTGTGGTACAATTCCTCAAGGGCTGCCTTTCCAGCCCGGCACAGACCAGTCAAATACAGAAATCCCAGGGCACCTTTTCTCCACAGCACTGCCACGATCCGCTAACCACGTACAGGGCACTGGCTGCAATGTCTTCAGCCTTTTTTAACAAGGCACCAGAGGGAAAGCAGCAAGTGATAACTGAAGTGGTTGCAAAAGCATTTGCAGCACTGATGCATGAACGGAGAACAGGCTTCAGGCAGGACAAAGCCCCACATGAGATCGACAAGGCACAGCAACTCCAAGAGTCAGTTCCCTTGTCTCTTGCTCCAGCCCTCCCAGGTTGAAGAACCAGACCAGGATGTAAAGGAAAGAACAGCCAAACCCACCACCCTTAACAAAAACAAATGGCTTGAAATTTTTACTTTTCGCAATGTTAAGAGTCTCAAATCTTGGTTTCAAAATGCCAAGTTATAAGGGAAATGCTGCACACAGTAGTGTTTGTCTGTGCCCTCCTGGTGAAAGGGATGCTCAGCTTTCCAATCCTCTTGATTTAGAGCTCAGAGCTCGAGAAGGAACAGATATAAACACACTCCTCACTGGATTGGATGTGCCATTTGAGCAGCTTCTACACAAAAGTTTTAACTGGCAAAGTTACAATTGCCAGTTTTGGCAATTGTAAATTTCCAAAACTTACAGTCTGGCAATTAACTGTAAGTAATTACACTTACTTTGTCAGATACATTTGCTCTGTGACTGGCAAAGATGCACAAAAGGAGCAGGCACAGCAGTGAACCCCATTTGATGTGTTTTGACAGCACACAACCGTGTGCGATCGCTCTCCTAAAAATATTGAACACCCCCTTTCCACTGTATCCCTCAGAAAAAAAACAGGTTAAGCCACAAAAACCACATTCTGTCCCCAAATTTCTCTTTTAAGGCACATAAACCAGGTTTTTTCTGCAGCTCCACTGGATGAGAGGGTAGAGAACAATTCTCAGTTAGCACAACACGAGGACATTCGGGGCCCTTGGAACTCAATATCAGTGCTGAGAGAGCTCCAACAGCTCTTGAAAAAGATGAAATAAGGTGGGTTTCTTCAAGCAAGGGATCCCTCCCAGACACAGCTTTCCTCCCCATGACTGCTTCTACGTATTTCCTGGAGAAAGGGATCCGTAATAGTGATGTGGATCACTTGTTCTCCTCCAAAGAATTCCTTAAAAAGAATCACAGTTATTTCCCAGCCTATTCTAGGACTGTGGCTGCATATTTACTGAGCAGCCTGCAGCGTTCACGATCAGTCCAGATGCCAGTTTCAAAACAGCTTAAGCACCTACAAAAACAGTACTTCTTGCTGCCTTTAGAACTCATTTTACACTCCTAGAATTGCCTCAAGTCCCCCGAGGCTGGACTTGCAACCCTGTCATGGCATAGCACACGCTCTCCACCAACCCCTGGTGACCTTTTAAGAAGCCTCAGCTTTACCCCGTGGGACCCTGAAGGAAGGAAGGGCACGTTCACTGGCTGTGGCTGACCTGATCCACATCACTCCTGCCTGATGGTGTGGACCCCAGGCCCACCCTCCCACTCCTCCCACCCTTGCCAGACCCTTTGCTGAGCCATTTCAGAGCAGTGACACGCCACAGGATCACTTTTCTTGACAAGTTTTAATGCTCCTGTAAGGTGACACCCCTTCTCAGGCAATGCTCTCAGCATTAATAAATCAGAGAGAAATGAAACCACCATGCCAGAGCCACTATTTTTCCTAATGAGTACAAAAGGCAGGGCCCAGGAGCAGAGTGAGCCAGTAGCCGCTTGGGGAGAGGCAGAGCCAGCACAGGACACATTCCTGTGAGGATTAGTCCGTGTGTATCTAACACTACATTCTCAAAGAGCTGGGCAAGCATTACACATTATCCTGGAGCTGAAGCCGGCCTTAAAAAAGTAATCCATGACTGTTTTGTTGAACCGGGTAATTCCCCTCCCCTCAAATTCAGACACCAGGACTGGTTGTGTTTGCAGGGACTCACTCCATGACCTGATCTGGATGCTGCAGCACACTTCAGGAACATTCAGGACATCTGTCTGGCAGTATGTCCTGCCACAGGGTTTTAGGAGAGCAGAGCCGTGCCCCTGCCTCTCTGGCCAGGCCTTGCAGCAGTAAGAGGCTGTCAGAGACTGAAAGGGTTAATGATTTATGCATTCTAGGAGACTTTTGCAGGCTTTTCACCTCTGATGGGCAGTTGGGCCCATCCCTTCCTCCAGCGCTGAAGGTGTCAAGCCCTGAAAAGGCAGAAAGAGCCGAGTTTACACCTCTGATGGCCCATCAAAGCCCATCCCCCCTCTGCCAATCTCGAAAGGGGGGAACCAGGCCAGACACAGAAACCAGGCCAGACACAGAAACTGTGCAGGCCCAGGGAGAGTTTGGAGGCTCGAGGCATGGCCGTGACACCAACCATGGGTATAATAACTCATAACTTCTTGGCGTGTGGGGGCTTCCCTCCTTCACCCCCAGCAGATCAAGGCACTTCAACTGACACACATGGAAGCGGCAACTCCCAGGTGTCATCGCTGCACCCCGTGGGCGGTGACTAAATACGTTTTTTTCCACTCTCATCTTTTCTTTTTCCTTACTCTCCCTTACTCTTATCCTGTCTTTCTCTCCCCTATGCATTTTCTCCCCCCCCCAAAGGTTATCTCTGTGTCACATTGTTATATGACAACCCCCAAAATGCCAGCATACCTGTTGATACAAATTTGTTAAAGTAAACCTTACCAATGTATGTTTTCAGACACCGATTATTCAGTGTTGTTTCACTCTAATCCACCCCAAAGGAATAATTGTTAAGAACCTGGGTTACCCCCCTCCCCTTTCTCTAGGGCCGGTTGTAACAGAGTGCTATGACCAGGAGAGAAGAAATCCCAGGCAATCCCCTTCATACCCAGGTGACAGCTCTCCATGGAGATACCTGGGAAACACCCAAGACCAGGTCCTGTCCCTGGGCACAGCCAAAGTCCTGAGCAAAACCCTCAGCCAGCACAGAGACCAGAGCATCACTTTTATGGTCAGCTTAGTTTTAGAGGACAAAAATATATGTTTGGAAGCACAAAACAAACAAACAAACCCTCAGTATTGGTGTAAAATACAACTCCAGGCTTGATGAAAGTTAAAAGGGCCATTAGGGGTTTGGAGGTAGCAACACTGACAACCCACAGTTCTGACCTTTGAGATCAAGTGGCGGCTGCTGCGAAGCCAAACAGAGGCTCCAGGGACATGTGGTTAACTGAAGGAGGTCCACGGCCATTTTGGAAAAGCCAAAATGAAGTTATCTTATTTCTTTTAATATCTTTGCTCACGTGATGGGCACGGTCTGGGAGGGGTGTGGTTAACATCACCCACTGCCTCTGCTCCCAGGGGAGCACAGTGACCTCACCCCGCTGTGAAACGGAAAACACTGAGGAGGGCTGTAAACGAGCCAACATTTCATATTTTATTTAATATCTCATGCTTATGAAGGGATTGTGCAGCTAAACTTTTGAAAAAGCTCTGAGGACACCCTTTTCCAAAATACTGCAGGTCAGTACTCAGCATTGAATTCCCTTTCCTACCTCAAACCTGCAGATATTAACACACAGCAAATTCATTTCAAAAATACAGGAAAGCATAAAGGTTTTGAGCATTTCTGCTACCCTTCTGCCTTGCTCTGCTGAAACAAATCTTACAAAATGTTTTGGCCTTAGGTGTAATGGGCAGCACAGAGGAACCTGTCAAATTCTTCTGTCAAACATTTAGCAGTAATGGAAGTTGGATGAACAGAAATAGTAAGCACATTACTAAATTAGCCAACTTCACATATAGTTTTAAATTAAAGCACGTTGTAAGGCCTAAACTTACTATTTAAAAATAATATTTGGCATCGATAAGCTCTGGCTTTAATGAGCTAAAGGACAGCATTTCACAATTCTGTCTAAAAGGCAGCAGAGCCTTTGGCTCCCAGCATCAGCCCAAGCAATGGCTGAGGCTCCAGGAATTATTTATCCCTGTTCACTGAGCACAAAGAGCTGAGTACAGGCACTGGCACATTTCTACCACCAGCATTTCCAGGCAGTTCTCATTTTCAGCCAGGTGCAGGGACAGTTTCTTTATTTGAACCAGATGCTTCACAGATTGGAAACCTCAACTCAGGCTTTTCTCAAGAGCAGGAAGTTTTCTTTCCCTCTTGAAGTTCTTGTATTTAAACAACAACGACAAAAAAATCTACATCAGACCCCATTTCTAGAGAAACAGGCAGCCACACAGAACCAGCACTCTTAATCCTACAGGGTGTTCAAATGCAGGATAAAGCCTGACGCTGGCTAGACTTTGGCAGGCAGCTGCTTAAATGTGCTTGAAAATCCCTCAAGCACTTCCATACCCACAAAAACGTGGCCAAGTGGTTCTGCAA